AACGAACCGGACATCAGAACAAACCGGACATAGTCTGATCCGGAGCCTCAGAACGAACTGGACATCTTCTCACCACATGGTAGCGAATGGCAAGAGGAATGATCACATTGGGCAGTACTGGCATGTGGTGTGAGCTGTGCGCGCCCAATGCCCGGAGCCTTAGAACAAACCGGACATAGTCTGATCCGGAGCCTAGCCTCAGAACAAACCGGAAAAACACCTGTACGATAGCCACTCCTTGGTCAGTACGAGCCAGTCCGTGTAGCTGAATGGTGCAGACTATACTTGCAGCTCACGTCAGGCGCGCACAGCTCACACCACATGCCCACCCATGCAAGGGCAGGGCATGGAGTTTGGCGCAACACGGAAAATAGGGGGTTGCGATGTGGAAAGGGGGGAGGGGCGTGCACGCCCATGCCCCTCCCTCCCCTCACAAAAATAAAACTTATAAGGTGAGGGTGATGTTTCTTGGGGGCGCGGTGCTCAACGATGGCCCCCAAAAATTGTGTGTTACTATCTCGCATGCATACAAGCTGTGTTTGTGGTCTGATACAGGTATGATGAGGATGCATTGTGTTCTCGAAAAACAGAGATTTCTGAACCTTTTTTTTTTTTTCACCCTTCTGCTAATAATACTAGGGCGCTTTCTCGTGCATCACAAAGTAAGCTCTGCGATTTGTGAAGTGGCTGCTACCCCTCTCGCTCTCTGTCTGAATGTATACAAGGTATCTCTCAGGTCGGATGCAGTAATGAAGAGGGTGCATTGTGTTCCCGCTCACCAAACTTTTTTTGAGCTTGGGGTGAGGGTGTTTTGTTCTTCGAATGTATGCACCTTGTCTTTCAGGTTAGATGCACACTCTCTCTCTCTCTCTCATGCACGTAGAGAAAAAAAAAGGGCACTACGTGTGTGCGTGAGCGTGCACAAATGACAGTGGCGCTCCGCCCAGCACACTGCATCTGGGGTGCCCGCGCATTACCGATCGACACACTGCACCAGAAGTCTGGCACACAAATGTGACTGTTCGTAAACAGAACATGAGTTTGTGTGCTGCTTTGAATCAGATGAACACAATGAGGTAAGGGCTACACCCATTTTTTTTCCTTTTTAAAGAAGAGGAGGTCACTGACCATAGCTTTGCGTATGTGGCATGTGTCTGCTTTCTTCACAGTTAGGGACTTCATCTTTTGGGCTCTCGGCATCGTACTCAAGGCATTTCTCTGCAGTTTCTCAGGGTCGCGTATCTGGTAAACTTGGCAGGTCAGTTGTCAAACCCTAGAAAAGTAGTCAAACCCTAGAAAAGTAGTCAAACCCTAGAAAAGTAGTCAAAGACATTTCACTCTGCTTATAGCAATACTAGAGAGTATATTCTTGCTGTGCCCTTATTTCGACCCGCAAACCTCCCATGTACCCTAACCGTACTGCTGCTCTGCCCACATAGTAACGAATACCCCCTTTTCCCAAACTCACATGTTGACCAGGGGTCTGATTTCAACTGGCAGATAACGGTACTGCTGCTCTGCCCACATAGTAATGAATACCCCCTTTTCCCAAACTCACACATTGACAAGGGGTTTGATTTTAATTGGCAGATATATAGTTTCTCACATGCACATATTGCGCCCAACTGGCTTGCATGGAGGCGATGTACACCAGTCATCCTCCTCGCCGTCCTCCGGATTATGATGGATGCAGTGGCATTGTGTGTGTGGTTGTTCTGCATGTGCTCAGCTCAGGTGTTGAAGTGGAGATTGGTGGGACCAGGAGGATCTCAGACAACAGTACCGCGGGGATGTCTTGTGCAATTGGCCTACAGGTATATAATATATAATATACAGTCTGTAGAGTTTTCCATCTGGTGTGGGTGAGTGATAGTCTACTTTGATTTTGGTTAAGTTGGATTATCACTTACAGTGTAATCAGTGAGGGGATTCTACAGACTGTTGAGGGTTCAGCCTCCTGACGAGTCGGTGAAAC